TTCTAATATGGTGCCGCTTAATACAGGTCTGGCGTTCGCACGTGTCTGTTATTTCACCTAATAAGTTTCTATTTGTTATTAACGTGTTATGGTTTAGAAAAAGTTTAGTGCTGACTCAACAAATAGAACAGCCGGTTCCCTTCAAAATTTCAGGTCGATTTGCAAATTTTGCGCTTTAAATTTTCTTCGCTCTGTAAAGACCCCTAGTAACAAAACCAGACATACCTCCTCCATACTGCGAGCATAGGAATGTCAATATATGATGCTTATGCATAATGATGACTTTAATGAAGACGGTAAATTGGTAAAAGTCCGAAGCAAAAGTCGGAAGGTCGTAAGTTCGTAGGTCGTAGGTTTTGGGTGCACACGAAGTGCTTTTTTTTCTCCGAAAATGCCTGTTTCATTCTCTAAATAACATCTTCCTTCACCGAAATCACTACTTAAAATTTGCCGTCTCTATTCATATCATCATTGAGCAAAGGAATCACATGCTGGCATTCCTTTTTACACAGAATACAGGTAGTTTGACACCAAGGACCTTAGTAACACGAGTGGCAGCGAGTCCTGAGTACTAATCGGAGGGTCGTAAGTTCGACTCCTATTAAGATTCTATTCGTCGAAGTGTGAAGGAAGTTTGTAACCATAGACCTATTTAACAGTCCACACTGCCTGAATCTGAGTCTGAAGTACTACTCGGACCGAGTAGTTCGAGTCACATTGCGAGATTTCCGAGTTTTCTTTTTTATCTTTAGTATTCCTGTGGCATTCACAGAATAACAATTTCCTTTACTTGGATTAAAAGGGTTAAGGTTACCATCATCATCTACATCCTCGTCATAGAGCATAGCATCACATATTGACATTCTTATCCTAGAAGCATGCAGCAAGTTTGTCACCATGGACCTACAATCACCTTAAAAATTAGTTGACATATTGTCTTTGGACTTCTATTTACGTGAAGAATAACAGTCCTGGTTCTATCACACTCCATTCAATGTCGGCCAAAAGTTCATGGAATCACAGACTAACATTGTTTTGGGGGTAGAGGGCGGAATGGATAACTTAGGAAGAGATTAAATTGAAGTAATAGGGGGCTGAAAAGATCAATGTGTCAACAATTTTGTAGCCAATTGTAGTTAAACTGCCTCGCTTGATTCCAGTCTCCTAAAGCTCAGTGGTAGAACGTCGGAAGTACTAGTCGGAAAATCGCAAATTCGAGTCAGCTTGCAACCGGTGAATAGAGATGCCAAAAAGAAAAGAGAGCTCAAGGGAAGCACAAAATGACTTGATAAAATGCTACTCCTGCAAAATTAAAATGAATAAAATAATAAGTTGACAGTCATGGAGAAGTTGTGTTTATTCATTCGTTTATCAACTATTAAATTGTTCACTTGGCTAGTTACTCCCTACTTTATCAATCTAAATTCATATTCAAGACTAAAAAAGCAAGAGAGCCAACAAGTTCATTGTTTACTATTGCATCTGAACGTGGTATCAGCTTCATTAATAACAACAACCTAGAGGAGACATACTACTGAAATGCATTGCTCGCTAGATACAGAAAAAACCCTGTCCTATTACCCGAAAAAAGCCATTTTTTAATAATAGAACCGAATACATAAGTTACATTAGCGTTCATTTAGATGTAATTTATCTGGAAGACGGTATATTTAAAATTATATATAGATGAAAAGAAAAAACTATATCGACGAAAGCCACGGTTAATGTTCTTCTGATGTGCTTATATTATTCATCTTCGTCCTAATTATTACCAGGAGAGTACTTGACATTTGTTTTAATGAGAACAAAACCCTGTTGAAAAAGAAAATACATTAGTAAGTATAAGAATTGTAGCTAACTGAGCTTAATGTCTTGAACGAAAAGAAAAAGTGAACTCAATTTCGATAAAAAATTCAAATGACTTTATCTGCCTAATGTTCCACTGCATATTTAAACACAAAAGTCCAAAGGTTAAGTTGAAGTTTGAGAACGAAATTGTGTTAGTTGCTCTCGTTCAGTGCAAATTATTGGTCTTTTTTTGAAAGACAAATGAATAAAGGAGGAAAGTTTCTGGAGAAACTGTGGTGCTGCGTCGGTGGGAGTAACAGGGTAATTTTAGTTTTATCAACTGAGTTTATAAGGTAAATTGAGTTTGAAAGACAAACTTTTGTTCTAGAGTTTTTCAGTCTCTAATTTCATCGAGTGTTCATGTCTTTCAGTGCATTTTCAACTTCCTTCATTCCGAATTTATTTTCTTTGCAGAAGAATTTCTTAAATTTTCATCATTGTTTTTAAAACAAAATAAGACATAAGTAACCCACCGAGCAAATCAAAAGCAAATTCACTACACTGAAATGTTGCTAAACGTTTGATAACAAGCTTACGTAATCCAAGAGTTAAGGATGGTTCATGGTTACCTGTCCCGTAGTTACATCAGTGTCTTCCCACTCCAGTTTACGAAGCATGGGCAAGGGAAATCCTCCGTCCCCAATTACTAGGGAAAAACAACAACGGAAAAAAAGGTGCATGAGATGATTGGCGTGCGGGTAAAAAATCACCATCACCTTAGTAGCAAATTTTGAACAAGTCACAACATTTAATAAAGGTTTAAGTTGTAATTTTTTCGGATTGCCAAGTTCAACAAATTGGCTCTGTATTAAATTAGACAATCACTTTTACTCAAGAAAAGATACGTAAGTGTTCTTGCTAAATTCATTACTTAAGATTTTGGTTAAGGAGCTATAGGTTGGCCTATTATGAGATAAGAGAAGTGTACAAACGGGTGTGTAGCACCATAGGCGCACCGTAAACCAAATGGAGACAAGGCTGGTTGATGTTAGTAAAGGTTTACACGAATTGTTTATAATGCAATCAGCGTTATACAACAACAACAACAACAACAACAAACGTAACAGGTATAGAGCATACCATTAAGCTTCTTCACAAAATTTCCAGATTCTATGCCATTGAGAAACCATTCGAGCAATCCAATGTTTGCCTGTCAAAAAAAAACTGAATTATAAGCCATCAAATACTTTTTCTCAGGCACGATTCATTTCAACGCATCACTTTACCGAGCTGCTAGCGCTAAATAAAACTGTGGAATATTCGATGACATTACCCGCATAAAATGTCATTTTCTGAGCGTTCATCACCAAAATAGAAAAATTTAAGAGCTCGTACCTGAACTTTACCAATAGCAGAGCGGACGAGATGTAATTTGGTTCTAGTTAAAAAAAGAAAACAAAAAGTAAAGAAGAAAAGAAAGAAATACATGCAATTTTACAAAATTTTTGTTTACTTTTTATTTAGAATATAAAATGATATTTAATTAGCAAGAGGTCTGACCACCTACACCCGTAAATAACCCAATACACTTACCTGAATGAATCGATGTGAAAGGTCAAGCTACCTTGATTTACACCCAGAGATCCAAGAACATTAGCTTTCTTAAATACAGAAATAAAGATTGATTAAATTTTGTATCCAACATAGGACCAGCACTATCAAGTTTTGGTACCAGTATCGTAATTAGCAAAGCGTCGTGATGGCTGTTAAGCATCCATAACGAAGCTAGGTTATTTTTCAAATAACAAATAATAAGGTTTGATCTATGTTCTGCTTCCAAGCTGAAAAAATCAGCCAGCGACGTGAGGGCGAAGGTTGGGAAAACCAATTTCGGTAGTGTTTTTTTTTAATGTTCAAATTATAAATTAAACTGGAACCTTTTTCTAAGCTAAGTGACTCTAATGATTTACATTACTTACCACACCCACTGTCAAAGCATATATATTTGCTCCATTTTTAGCAGTGACGTACACTTCAATATTACCGTTCACGGTCACATTGACGCTGTTTGGACTCGACACGAAAACCGGAGCCTTGGTAGTGTAGACTTTAAGAAACACCGGTCGGTCTGGGTATAGTTTGTACAGCTTTAAAAAAATCAAAAAAAAGAGAAAAGGCGTTATCAGCGGCAACGTAAGTGAGAAGGAGAGTACAGTGAGGGTCTGAATGGAGTTAACCGATTAGCGACAAAGGGCGAAAAATAGAACTGACTACTTACGAAATGCAAGAAATATACCAATTAGCGACAAGTAAATTCTGACCGACAACTGACACTGTCCGACATTATTGATATTTGTATTCAGAAATAAAAACATTGTAGCCCATGAGGTAGCTAGCCACTTTAATGCAAGGATTCAATTCATCATAGAATTCCCTGTCATCAAAACTTACCTCATGACCGGGAAGGAGCGAAGGCTCATTTCCAGAAGAGCGTCCGGCACTCAAGTCCACGAATTTCCCAACGAATGCGAATGTTTGACTTGCAATTTTAATCATTAACTGAGATGTACCGACTACCAACAAGGTCGAAAGTAATGAAATTCTAACCGACAACCGACTTGGGGACTCCCTCTCCCCATTCAGACCCTCTACACGCTACATTTCGAAGACTTCATACATGTAACATTACACACCTGGTTCAGGAAGGTCCGGAAAAACGTTGTGTTCAATTGAAACATAGCAGAAGGAGGTAACTTCGCAAAGAGACGATTGAGGAGAAACAGAGAAAAAGAAAAAATATATTGATAATAATATCTTTAAGTCTTTTTTTGCTGCTCATATCATCTATCACTCAACTATGTTTTTATATCATTTGAATCATGGTAATAAATGCTCATCTTAAGAAGATCACACCATTTTAAAACGAATTAGAGCATATTATCCCAATATCTTTATTTTTCAGTTACATCGAGAACAGTGGACGTTTATCTAGAAACAAGGCTCTTTACTTACATCCTTGGGTCGAATAGTAGTACGTAGTTTTCCTTCCTTGTGAAAGACAAGGCTCGCCGTGTTGAAGACGTAATCCGTAAGCCATATGTAAACCATTTTATCAACCTCCGCGAAGTCTGGGATTGTTTGGGGAACTAACATTGCTGTGGCATGGGGGTTTCTGAGGGACTTAAATTCACCCTGAAAAAAGAATGGAAAACACTTTCCACCGAGGGTTGTGTAAATCATTTACATTTGAATGCACTAGGCTTAGCTTGGATCAGACGTTTGAATATCCTTTCCATAGTCAAGATTATTTGTATACCTTAGATCTTTAACAGATAAGAAGCTCTACGACTTACATCATCTCAAAATGTCGGCATGGATAAAATATTTTTTTCCAGGGATTCAGATTTTTTTTTAACAACTTATTATTGCGTGGAGTGGATTTCCTTAAGGTAATTTACCAAAAGGGTCTCCACACAACCCACCTCCGCGGAGAGTCGAAGCGCTCACAACCCACTATGTGAAGAGATTGGATGGACTATCCAGTGATTATTCGGAACCCAGTTTGTTTTTTACCAACAAACACCGAGCACCTCTTATACAGAAAGCCATTTTTCTTTTAAGGTTGGCAAGTATTGGATGTTCTAATTTCGTAGACTTCTTCTAGATATCAACATTCCACTTTCAACCATATTGTGACTGTCCCAAAGTAATAAGTTTGTTAGCTTAGTTTACCAACAACATATTTTCTGCACGTAAAATGTCTTCCAAGCAAAAGCCTGGGCCGGGGCATGAGATTAAAACAAATAGACTTAATTTAATAGCACCATACCTTTCCTTCGATATTACACTTATTTGCTAGGATCTCAATTTCGTAACAATAGATGATCATGACTCAGGAAGAGTTAATATATATTGCATTTTCCAATGAGTTCAATAGAGTGAATTGGCTGTCAAGGATTTCCATTCACCCCCGCCTGCTTTTATATAAATTGATGGAGAAGTGGAAATCGGAATAAATAACCATTCATCATGGCTTTGCTTGATATATTCGTCTCTTTTCTGAAAGAGTACCACATATTTTGCCACGAAGACAATCGACCAACCCAGTCAAGCGACTCATAAGAAACAGCATCTTTTAACATTCTTATTACAAAGAAAGTCTGACTAACATCCTTTGTTATGTCCAGCTTTTTGACCATATCATAAATGTAGTCTATCTTTTCTACTATAGGTGTGACAGTATACCAGCCAGATTGAGTCAGTAGTAAAAGGACAGGGTAAATACTGAGGGAGTGTGGTCAGTGGTGATGAGCTGCACGCTTTCATAAAAAACACATAATGTCATGCAACTGTTTACCTTAAGTGGTACATCCATATATTGTGATGTAAAAGTAGGGTTTGCCATAAGGGTATAGTCAATTTGCGCCACATCACCAATTTTCCGAATAACTATGAAAGAAGGTAACATTTCGTAAAATTATTATAATTAACATCTTACAAATCTTACAAATGTGCTGGTACGGCAAACCCTCTGAATTTATACCAATTGTGGCAATTAACCCTGTGGCATATAGCAGCATTACTTTATTTCCTGAAATAACTGGACACGATCACGTGGCTTATCGACAAAAAGAAAGCACCTCCTCACCTGGGTAAGACATACACATTCTCTATTTCAAAGGATGATAATAAATTTCCTTTTTCTAATAACTGCTCTATTTTGAGAAACAATAGCCTTCCCTAGCCTCTCAGCTCCTGTGAGTAATCAACCCCTAGCTTCTTTCTTCCGCTCTCTGTACATGCATTTCGAGAGGCTATGTGCCTAGGCCGTGGATGTTCTCCTTCATTCGTTAGAGTTCCCAGTTGACTTACAAGCGAACAATATGGAGTGGACGTATGATTATCCGTGGACAAGGGGAAATAAATGTTCCTGACTATAATCTAAGAAAGAACGGAAAATATTTGGGACGTATTAATAAACTTATTACCAGGAAATGTTGCAAGGTACTTTGCTGCGTCTTTGTTTATAGCCTCTTCAGCTTCCCTGCAGATCTTATAAAAAGGAATGTTGAGAATTATATTCAAACGCATAAATTATAAACAGTTTATAATATCTTACTTCAAGTGGTATATTAGTTCATAAAAAATCCCTTTTCATTGATCAACTTAAGACTGTATAATACAGATAAAGCATTCTATTCGTTTCTTTTTCTGATTTTCCACCAGACAAAACGTAATTTGAAAGCAAACCATATATCAAGTGACGTCTTATTCACAGCTCAGTTTTAAAACCATCAGGAAAATCCACTGTATTCAATTTACCATTTTTGCGAGAGCATCCTTGATTTTGTTCTCAATCCTCCTTTTGAGCATGTTGTATATCTTCCTGCATGAATAAAACTCCAAATTATAAGAGGAAAAATAGAGGTTTGATAAATTGATAAAAATGCGAGCAAGTTGTCGAGAAAAGAGAATTTAGAATCAGCTTTCATTAGTGAAATTAAATCGTGATCAAAGGGAAAGTTACTTTGCACGACTGCCACTGAAATGAACATCAACTGATCGGACATGTGAGGAGCAGTCCTGCTCATACGTGGAAATGGTGGGATGACCAGTGGAGTCGACACCTAGAATTAAAAAGTAGCGCTACTGTGAATTAGATAAGAACAGATCTTGGAACACCCAAGATCGCTACCAAGAAACTGAACTAAAGCAACAACCTGCTATTATCTGTAGGTAATGACCGTGCAGAGTGCCTGGGTATGAGTTAGATGTAAACTACTTAACAATGTTCGCGGCTATCATCCAGCATGTCATTTAAAGAAATTCGTTCTTAACAAAAGGTTTCCACAGAAATTAGCCGAGTCTGTGCCCTCTTTTAATGATGAAAACTGGATGGAAATTGGAGAGAATCCAGAAAAGGATACTTGATAATTATTCAGGTGATCGGTGTAATCTGTTAGCTACTTACTAATGGCAAGTACCCTTGAACAAGAAACTTTGCGTTAAAACATGTCTGTGGAGAAAGTGTTATGTACAAGGCTCACCAATCCGTGTTTTCAGGTTAAAGGCGACTCCTCGAACTTTCAACTCCACATTGACCTTGTCCTTTACGTGAAACCTGTGATCGTTGGGTAAAATTAACTCCGTCAGCGAAAAATAACAATAATCTTTTTAAATGCTGTGAGGAACCTGACTAAAGCTACAGCCCCAAGACGCTCGTTGCAAGAGCTCCTGAGTTCGGCGAAAAAAAGATGGATATTTAACGTAATTTCCTTCATATAAATGTCTTAATATTAATAGAAAGATTATTTCTTCAGATAACACTGACGTTTTCGATGAAGTCAAAGGAGTGAATTCTTTTTTGAACAGTATGTGGTTACAACACGTACCATAGCACTTTCTTTTTATAACGTAAAAGCAATGCGATGTCAAGGTCAATCCCAGTTGCTTGTAAACGAAGGCCTTCTCCTGAAGCAGTCGAAAGTGAGGATGAAGCTATCAAACACTTTTTGATCTTGATGCTGGAACCAAAAGTTGTACATGTTTAAGAAGTTAGCAGCAGCAATCACGAGATTTGCATGTCAGGGGATCTTGAGGAAATAACAGGGTCGTAACGGGGTCTTTAGGGATCAGAGATCAACGGCCACTAAAGGGGTGAGATCCGGGATCACAGCCCCGGGATCTGGGATCACAACCCCCGGGATCGGTATCAGCGGTGTTTTTCATTGGATCAAGGATCAGGCGTTCTGGGTAAAAAAAGGAATTCACCACGCGTACCTTAACAAGGTTTTTTTTAAAAGCTTCTTAAAAAGATTTTGGTCCATTTCATACAGTAATCCTTGGTATTTGGACTAGCTGACTGATTAATCTGTTCATAACTTGCCAGGATTTTGTTGTCTAACTCGCTCTGCATGACATTCTACTTCATATAATATGTCATATAAACACGTTGGATAATGCTTTCGACAGAGCGCGTGTTGTTATAGGTATAATTTTTGGAACGTAATAGTCAATTTTTCAGATCGGTTTCTTTTTTATTCAATGGTGCAATGGGGAAAAGAAAAAAGGGAAAGACGATTGCACACTTAGGAGGTAAAGTGATGTTATTAAACTTTGACTTATGGTTTCTTCTTGTTAAAACCAGCAATCTTTTGGCAAAATTTAATTTCATGAACTCCACATTCTAGGTCACGCTCCTGGTCGCCCAGCAGAAATGGCGATCAAAGGCATGAGCGAAGCTCAAGGCGGCGTTCATCGACCAGGTAAGTTAGATCACAGGCTTACCATCTTAAGTATCCGTGGTTTCGGGTTTCTATGGTAATGGGCCCTGTGGCATTTGCCTAGCGGTTATAAATGTAGTTCAAATGTATTGCCCCTAGAATCTGTCCCTAGTAGTCAGTCTTCAAAAAAATCAGCTCCGAATAAAGCTTTTAAGCTTTTTTGACTATGAAAATAGTTCATTACTTGTTTGGAGGTGTTTTTTTCTGCCAGAAAGCCTCAAAATTGCTCGTTTGGGGCTTTCAAAGTTCGGAGGTTAATTCGTATCGCTTTCCTTAGTTAGGAAATGCGACAAGGCAGGTAGCTTAGGCATCCAGATCGCACACCACCTCGTACTTAAGACAAAAATGTTTTACCTTCAGGTCTTACTTTCCCACCGAAACTCAACGGGCCACAGAAGAATTATCCAGTTGTTACGGAGACTCGGTTTTGAATCATTCCATTCAACGGTTTACGAGAAAATGGAACGCAAAGTCGTAGATTTGGAGCTCATCTTGGGATCCGGACATGAGGGGTACTCAAAGGAATTCCAAACATGCGTTAACAACATTAAAATAAATTAAAACTTACATATCTAACACTCGAAGGATTGGTAAAATAGAAGAACAGCTCCCCAAAATATCTGTCGGCCGACGAACGACCAACAGACGGTTGACAGACGGCCGACAGTCGGCCGACAGATATTGTGGGGAGCTGTTCTTCAATTTTACCGATGGGTTTTCCTGAGAATGTCTACAAAAACTATCTCGACTCTTCTTGGTCGATCTTGGCTTACGACATCCGCCGGAAGTACAAAGTAGCGCCTTCGGGGCCCCAACAGGCAATACAATTTTTCACATTTTTGTACCTCGGGTAGGGTGGCTGGGTCCGAAATTCGATAACCGAAACGCATGTTTGGAATTCCTTTGAGTACCCCTCATGTCCGGATCCC